GCAATGTTCTTTTTTACGTTCCAGAAATAACAGTTTGAAATTCTTCAGGTATTCACAATAATTTAGGTTCTTGACTGAACTTATACGGCGTGCTTCAAAAGTGGTTGTTACTGAATTGCAAAATTCCAGTCTAGAGTGAACAAGTGATAAAAAGATCATTTGCTTGGCATCTCTTGTTTTGAAGGATGTAGTTATAGAGCCTATTATTTTTCTTGCGATTGTGATAATGACACTGTTTTGATCAGTGAAAGTGAGATTCTCTGACACTATCAGTCTTTTGCTCTATTAGTTCTATACTCTAAGTTTATATTGCCTATTTTTTCCAAGTTGGAATAAATTAAATTTGTTTTCTATTAATATTATATTGTTTTCTGTAGCCCATTGGAAGAGTTGGTTAATATAAGCTTTGAGATTTGTGTTCTCAATGGATTCTGCTCTCATCACACAGATTCTTGTTTCGTTTGTTAAGGATGATACGGTGCTATAATCTGCATCTCTGTCAGAAATAAGAATGAGAGAGAAGAACTGGAACTCGTACTGAGGCTTGGGTAAACAGCTTTTCACTTAGCCAACATCTGATTTAACTTTCACTATTACACTTTGCATTCAAATTGTTAGAGAACTAAAATTTTATCTGTACACTTTTCCAGTTATTCCTATTTTGTAAGGTATCACATAATGATCACACTTGTTAAAGGCTTTAGCAAAAATCTGTGTTCACTATAGTTACATTTTGTTAGTCTGCCTGTACATCAAAGGTCATGTTTTAATGGTCCAATAGTCACCAGAGGCAGGAACGATCTGATTTAAACTAACATTGTTCAAGGATGCGCATTTTTTTATGAATCCAAGTGATTAGTGATCTTGCTTTTCCAAAATGTCTTCAAAGATTTTAATAATCGGTTAATAATTTTTGTGATTATTTTGGTGCTACCTCTGTGGAGTGAGGCCATATCTATTTCCACTGAATACTTAAGGCACGTGAGAGGGATTTCTTGGGGTTCTTGATTAATATGGAGTTCCATTAGGGTGGCTGCTTAAAGTACATGGAAACTCCATGCACAAAGCATGTCCAGTAAGAGCATAACCATGGACAAAGCATGTATCAATAAGAGCATAACCATGGAGGGCAATGGGCATATCAATGCCTCTCTTGAAGCATCAGTGTTATTTCGAAAATTTGGAAGATACTGGCAGAATTAAGAGTCTCGTTTATGAAAAATTCCGTTGATTTGTCGATCTTCAGTCTTATTAACGGCTTACTAAACAGAGTAATACTGAGACTTCAGTGTTTCACTCATTCCTTTATTATCGTCATCGTAAACTTCATCTCCCTTAAGCAATAACCCGACAGTGACATAAATTTTGCTCTTAATTATACATATAACAGGTATTTTGGGTCTATTTCATTATTTTTAATTTTCCTTAAATTGTTAATGTAGTTAAATAGATCGCTTTATGGGTTAGAGTAATAAAACGTAATCCAATTTTTTTTGAGTTTATGGGAAGGTTGAAGTCTTGTAATAAAACTGACGTAGTAGTAATATGAGAATATCTTAGCACATTAAGCTGTCATATATTAATCTTAAGTATTTAGGGTTCTCGCGATTGCAATTTTTTTTATAACCAAAAAGAGACATTGAGGAACAATATTTCATTGGTACAATAAAAGCTTGGGATAATAAATCTTTCCTGTGTAAATATTTACAAAGTCATGACAAAATAAAGCCCTACACAGAGAGAAACGATGTCACAACAAAACCTTGCGCTACGATGTATCTTCATACTTGTCGGCAATAAGCCATTTATTCTAATAATTTTTCAGGTGGCTGAGAGAAGTTATGCTTCTCTTGGTTATGTTCTATTTTAGCGAAACTTTGGATAACAGCCACATACAAGCTTCTGTTTTTGAATCTGTCTTTCAGCCTTTATGACCACCTGGCCGTGTTCCAAGCCATAATGCGGGTGTGTTTTCCACGATGGGTAAACATTGCTTGTGTAACGTGCACCACGCACATCCACGTTCCTGAATCTTTCTGTTGTTGACATGTAATGTTTCCCTGGTGTTGTAATATTTCACTAGTATTATAATGTTTCTCAGGGGTTGCAATGTTTCTCTAGTGTTGTAATGTTTCTCTAGTGTTGTAATGTTTCTCTAGTGTTGTAATGTTTCTCTAGTGTTGTAATGTTTCTCTAGTGTTGTAATGTTTCTCTAATGTTATAATGTTTCTCTAGTGTTGTAATGTTTCTCTAGTGTTGTAATGTTTCTCTAATGTTATAATGTTTCTCTAGTGTTGTAATGTTTCTCTAATGTTATAATGTTTCTCTAGTGTTGTAAGGTTTCTCTAGTGTTGTAAAGTTTCTCTAGTGTTGTAATGTTTCTCTAGTGTTGTAATGTTTCTCTAGTGTTGTAAGGTTTCTCTAGTGTTGTAAGGTTTCTCTAGTGTTGTAAGGTTTCTCTAGTGTTGTAAGGTTTCTCTAGTGTTGCAATGTTTCTCTAGTGTTGCAATGTTTCTCTAGTGTTGCAATGTTTCTCTAGTGTTGCAATGTTTCTCTAGTGTTGCAATGTTTCTCTAGTGTTGCAATGTTTCTCTAGTGTTGCAATGTTTCTCTAGTGTTGCAATGTTTCTCTAGTGTTGCAATGTTTCTCTAGTGTTGCAATGTTTCTCTAGTGTTGCAATGTTTCTCTAGTGTTGCAATGTTTCTCTAGTGTTGCAATGTTTCTCTAGTGTTGCAATGTTTCTCTAGTGTTGCAATGTTTCTCTAGTGTTGCAATGTTTCTCTAGTGTTGCAATGTGTTGTAATGTTTCTCTCATGTAAATTATAAATTCATTCCTTCAGGGGACAGAATTTGCAGCAAAGATTTTCTTATGAAGAAATGCCAGCATTTATATTATAAACAAACAAAAATAAGTTTTATTGCATCATGCCCAGCCTGAGGCACTGATTACCCGAAATTCCATCTCATCTCCCATCGATCTTTGAGAGGAAACCTTAAGTCAATGTTTCGGTTCGTCCTGGATCGTATCAAATACCAAATGAGAAAACGGTGAGAAATCTAGAAGACAGAGCAGTTAAAGAGATACGGAACAAGTCAGGAAAGAGTTGAGAAGTGAGTAGTAGTCCAGTGTTAGATCAAGTAATGAGTCCTCTCAATATTAGATTATGATTATTTTTATCATCATCATCATGGGGAGCGCTAAACTCGTAGGGATTATACAGCGCCTGAAGATAGGGGACGGAAGGTATTCAGGGAATTGTTGAATATAAGAGTTGACAAGAACTCCAAGTAAGTCATAATCAACAGCGATCAATGAATAAACAGAATAGACGGAGACACACTTGCTGTGCATAATGTAAGACCATAATAATGAAACACTACAGCGGGCCTATTGACCCTTACTAGGCAGGTCCTTCTGAAAATCCATCATCCTATCGTTAGATCCATGGCTGAGTGGTTACAGTGTTCAGCTTGCTGTATGCATTGACCACGGTTCGACAAATATTTGTCAAACCTGCCGTTATTCAACACAGCAATCAGCTTCAACACACCTCACCTCACTGTTCACGGGGTGTGAATGTTGTAGTTTTATAACTGTAGTGTGAGCACGTCTCTGGCAAGAGTGAGAGAGTGAATGATGAAAGTTTTTCTTTTTCGGGCCACTCTGCCTTGGTGGGAATCGGCCGTGTTATATATATATATATATATATATATATATATATATATATATATATATATATATATATATATATTTATATATATATGTGTGTGTGTGTGTGTGTGTGTGTGTGTGTGTGTGTGTGTGTGTGTGTGTGTGTGTGTGTGTGTGTGTGTGTGTGTAGTGCCGAATAAGTAAAACTTTCGATTTGGGCTTAAATAGCAACGCACTTCTTGCTGAATAGGGCAAGCGAAAATTTGTGAATGCAATAATTTCGTAAGAATCAGTCTGAAGCTAACGAAAAAAAAATATATATTTCATTGTGTTTGTGTTTATTATTAAATTATTGTAAATTTATATAAAATATATTTAGTTGGATTAGGCTAAATTAAACTGTGCTTGTTATAATAAGATTAGGTAAGTTTCCTAAGGCTCTTTTGGTACGAAATAATTAATTTTTATATTAACATAATTGACCAATTTTACCTATTCGGCACGATATATATATATATATATATATATATATATATATATATATATATATATATATATATATATATATATATATATATACACATACCCGTGACTTAACCTGAATCCTCATTTTTTCTTCTTCTTCTTCTTTTACTTCTTCCTCTTCCCCTTTCCTCTCTCCTTTTCTCCTCTGGGTTGTCTTTCTCTCTCCTGTCTCGTGTTTCTGTTCCTTCTTTATTTTATTTCACCACTTCCCCTTTCACGCACCTCGGTGCGCTTGCTCTCCCTCTGTGGGTTTCTAGCTCTCTTGCAGTGCTCCCCTTCCTTTGTATTTGACTGGCTCGTCTTCCTTATTTCCCACTTCTACCACTACCACTACTACTACCTCTTCTTCTTCTACTACATCTACTGATGAAATTAGACACATGTACGGCGTCTGGTTGTCTTTGTTGTGGACGTTTCGCCATCCAGTGGCTGGCTGGATGGCGAAACGTCTACGGTGGGGATGCCCGGGTGTTGTGCATGTGTCATTTCATCCTGTCGGTATTATATACAATTCTTGTACTACTACTACTACTTACTACTTCCACTACTACTACCTCCACCTCTTCCTGCCTATATATAGCCGTCCTGCTCCTCCTCTGTTAGTGTGACTTTGTCAATGGTCCAAGTCGGACCGAAACGTCGTCGTAAGCTTCTGTCTTTTATGTGCGGGTTATTTGTGTATATTTGATCCGACAAAACCCACTGTTTGTGCGAAACGTTGTCAATAAAGGGTCGCATCATAATTCCCTTGTGCTTTTTGTCTATCATGTCGGTATTTTATTCAATTTCTCTCCAAGTCAACATATGTCAAAGAGGACTCACCTTCAGATTTGGCGAAGTCTTGGAGGGTAGTGGCGGTGGTGCCCCATACCTCTGTGATGGGTATTGTGGTCCCGTTGGTAGCACCAGTGGCTTCCATTGACCACAGTGCCATGGTGTTGTGTTCCCGTGCACCCAGATACGCTACAATCATGCACTGAGAAACGCTACATTCGTGCACCGAAACACGCTACACTCGTGCACTGGAAACACATTCGGTCGTGCACTAGGGCACCGGAAACTAATGGCCCGAAAAATCTTTCGCTTTTACACTGGGGAACTCCTTCACGCGTGCTTGAAAGCAATCACCTTTATATGTGAATGTAGGCACGCTATGTTTTTCTTACTCTGCTTCAGCTATGAGAATCGATATTATTAAAGTTTGTTTTCGATAAACCACTGAGATTATCAAAGTTGTCTAAAGTCTGCCTTGAATATCATGTACTCTCAGCATTTAATATCCACTGATGTAATATATGCCTGGTTAAAGTGTGCTGTAATTTTAGCCATAACACAAATGCATTTATTATATTTATAATTAGCCAAGATATTTGTTGATGAGTACGCTAGAGCCAATTCATTTATCATTTATTTCTAATCATTGGTTTTAGCAAGTTTCTAATGGAAGGTATCTTTTCTTTCAAACACCGAGACATTTTGAAGCAATGTAGAGGAGACAGGTCTCAGGATTCCAGACTGTTTGTCCTGTTTCGTAAATCTTTCTGTGTATTACTGGAAGCAATTAAAATAAACCGAACCTTTTTCACTGTAACAACATTCCATCCCGGTAGTTACGTGAGAGGAAAATTTCCATTTTTTCTTTCAGTACACAGATTTTTTTGAAGTGCTTAAACTACGGAATGATCTCAGAAGTAGCGCCGTTGATTCTATTCCAGGTGGTAATTGTGGGTGCGATAATACACAGCAAGAGTGTGGCTATAACTACCAGCGAGGTAGACCCAGTGGAAACCGCGGGGGCGTTGACCCCCGGAGCTCTCTCCAGGTAAACTCCAGGTAACTCCAGTACCGGCTTTTTTATTAGTAGTATGTTGTGGTAGTGGCATATTGTCGGTTATTTAATAGTGGGTTTAGGCAGCATGGAGGACTTTTCTTCAAAGCACCGAGCATTTGAGCTGTAGTGGAGACTCCAGCCAGGATCCTTCCTGTAGTACAATTTTTGTGTTTACGGACCATAATAACTGCACTTTTTACTGTTGACTTATCACGTAGTACAATGAGAGTCATTTGCTTTCTGTCAATGATTTTTTACTGCTGAAAAGGAGATCTTTATTTTTTTTAATTCAGGTAAATGGGGCGTTTAAGGTTGAATATCACTTGAATAAAACGCTGGTTGAACAGTTTCCAGGTACTCCAGGTATCTACGCTTATTTAGGAAGTGCAGTATTGTTATGGTATATAAGAGAATTGGTGTCAAAATTTCTCAACGAATGCTAGCAGTCAGAGTCGTAGTGAACCTCCCGTACTCATGACAGAACAATAACTGTTATACCTAATGCCAGACAGTGACTTTCAGTCCTATTCAGCATTGCTTTATGTCATCTTTTTTTGAAAGTTCTTATGTTTTTTTATATTCACCAAATGCTATTTTGAACATCATCAATCAACAGCGAAAGTGAATTTTTTTCATAATTTTTAAATCTACCAAATTTAATTGATCAGATTTATAAATTACATAACTATACGCTTTCCCCATTATACACACAGTTAACTGTCATCCATGCCCTGATTCTCCCATGAACCTCCCATTATTTAGTCTCAGTGGTTATACTTCTACATTGTTTTAACCACATGGAACCTACCATAGTTTTCATGAACTCCATGTTTACACAAATTGGACTCCCATTTATACCACAGAATCTTTACGTCCCATGTTTACCACATGGAACCTCCCATGTTTACCACATGGAACCTCCCATGTTTACCACATGGAACCTCCCATGTTTACCACATGGAACCTCCATGTTTACCACATGGAACCTCCCATGTTTACCACATGGAACCTCCCATGTTTACCACATGGAACCTCCCATGTTTACCACATGGAACCTCCCATGTTTACCACATGGAACCTCCCATGTTTACCACATGGAACCTCCCATGTTTACCACATGGAACCTCCCATGTTTACCACATGGAACCTCCCATGTTTACCACATGGAACCTCCCATGTTTACCACATGGAACCTCCCATGTTTACCACATGGAACCTCCCATGTTTACCACATGGAACCTCCCATGTTTACCACATGGAACCTCCCATGTTTACCACATGGAACCTCCCATGTTTACCACATGGAACCTCCCATGTTTACCACATGGAACCTCCCATGTTTACCACATGGAACCTCCCATGTTTACCACATGGAACCTCCCATGTTTACCACATGGAACCTCCCATGTTTACCACATGGAACCTCCCATGTTTACCACATGGAACCTCCCATGTTTACCACATGGAACCTCCCATGTTTACCACATGGAACCTCCCATGTTTACCACATGGAACCTCCCATGTTTACCACATGGAACCTCCCATGTTTACCACATGGAACCTCCCATGTTTACCACATGGAACCTCCCATGTTTACCACATGGAACCTCCCATGTTTACCACATGGAACCTCCCATGTTTACCACATGGAACCTCCCATGTTTACCACATGGAACCTCCCATGTTTACCACATGGAACCTCCCATGTTTACCACATGGAACCTCCCATGTTTACCACATGGAACCTCCCATGTTTACCACATGGAACCTCCCATGTTTACCACATGCACCTCGACTACCTTCCACCAACATAGACACCAAGGAAAAAAAAACACATTAACCATCAATGATACAAATTGCACTGCATTACTCTTGTGGATTTAGCGCTTGGTTATGATAACAATAAAATAATAATAATGATACAAATTCTGTCTTGCTAAAAGTGCACGGATTTCCATTGACTGAGTGATGGTGAATGAGGTTCTTTCTTAGGGTTACCATACCCTGGCCCTTTTTTTTACCCTAAACTATTCAGAAAAGTTAAGTTAAGAAAATTTGATTCAGGAAACCAATTGTGGTTTCCCTGTACATTTTAGCCCATCTTTATTTGTATTAAATATTCGGTGATGGAATCCTGGAAGCATTTAAACATTTTCTTTGAATTCCACGTCAAAAACCTTAGTAACATGTGGATATGATACGTTATCTAAATGACGAGTTAACAGCGAGTGAACTGTAATGTAACTCTGGTACTCGTTTTACATGTTATTTAACTTGATACGAAGACAAGTAAATGTTCAGCAATCTTGCAAAACAATTATGTAATGTTGGATTTAAGATTTCTGCTGACGCGAGCTGCCTTTATGGTATATATTTATTAAATTATGTTTTATTCGAGTTGTAGATGCGTCTTAAATTTTCACCTATGATTGGAATCACGTATTTGCCACTGGTAAACAGTAGGGCGTTGTCCACAAGTCAGCAGAGATGGGAAAAATAATAATAAACTATTATCTTGTCAGAGGAAAAGGCAGGTACGGCAGTGCAACGCAAAAAGCGCGTACTATACTTATAAAGCGCGTACTGTACTCATAAAGCGCGTACTATATTCATAAGGCAAGTACTATACTCATAAAACGCGTATACTCATAAAGCGCGTACTATACTCAAAGCGCGTACTATACTCATAAAGCGCGTACTATATTCATAAAGTGCGTACTATACTCATAAAGCGCTTACTATACTCATAAAGCGCGTACTGTACTCATAAAGCGTGTACTGTACTAATAAAGCGCGTACTATATTCATAAGGCAAGTACTATACTCATAAAACGCGTACTATACTCATAAAGCGCTTACTATACTCATAAAGCGCGTACTATATTCATAAGGCAAGTACTATACTCATAAAACGCGTACTATACTCATAAAGCGCTTACTATACTCAAAGCGCATACTATATTCATAAGGCAAGTACTATACATAATAACGCGTACTATATCATAAAGCGCTTACTCTACTCGTAAAGCGCGTACTATATTCATAAGGCAAGTACTATACTCATAAAACGCGCACTATACTCAAAGCGCGTACTATGCTTATAAAGCGCGTACTATACTCAAAGCGCGTACTATACTCATAAAGCGCGTCTATATTCATAAAGCGCTTACTAACTCATAAAGCGCGTACTATACTCATAAAGCGCTTACTATACTCATAAAGCACGTACTATATTCATAAAGCGCTTACTATACTCATAAAGCGCTTACTATACTCATAAAGCGCTTACTATACTCATAAAGCGCGTACTATATTCAATTAAGTGCGTTACTTATTCATAAAGCGCGTACTATATTCATAAAGCGCGTACTATATTCATAAAGCGCGTACTATATTCATAAAGCGCGTACTATATTCATAAAGCGCGTACTATATTCATAAAGCGCGTACTATATTCATAAAGCGCGTACTATACTCATAAAGCGCGTACTATACTCATAAAGCGCGTACTATACTCATAAAGCGCGTACTTTATTCATAAAGCGTGTACTTTATTCATAAAGCGCGTACTTTATTCATAAAGCGCGTACTATATTCATAAAGCGCGTACTTTATTCATAAAGCGCGTACTATACTCAAAAAGCACGTACTTTATTCATAAAGCGCGTACTATATTCATAAAGCGCGTACTATACTCATAAAGCGCGTACTATACTCATAAAGTGCGTACTATATTCATAAAGCGCGTACTATATTCATAAAGCGCGTACTATACTCATAAAGCACGTACTATACTCAAAGCGCGTACTTTATTCATAAAGCGCATACTATACTCATAAAGCGCGTACTATATTCATAAAGCGCTTACTATACTCATAAAGCGCGTACTATATTCATAAAGCGCTTACTATACTCATAAAGCGCGTACTATACTCATAAAGCGCGTACTATATTCATAAAGCGCTTACTATACTCATAAAGCGCTTACTATACTCATAAAGCGCTTACTATACTCATAAAGCGCGTACTATATTCATAAAGTGCGTACTATATTCATAAAGTGCGTACTTTATTCATAAAGCGCGTACTATACTCATAAAGCGCGTACTATACTCATAAAGCGCGTACTTCATAAAGCGCGTACTATATTCATAAAGCGCGTACTATACTCATAAAGCGCGTACTATACTCATAAAGCGCGTACTATATTCATAAAGCGCGTACTATACTCATAAAGCGCGTACTATATTCATAAAGCGCGTACTATACTCATAAAGCGCGTACTACTCATAAAGCGCGTACTATATTCATAAAGCGCGTACTATACTCATAAAGCGCGTACTATATTCATAAAGCGCGTACTATACTCATAAAGCACGTACTATACTCAAAGCGCGTACTTTATTCATAAAGCGCGTACTATACTCATAAAGCGCGTACTATATTCATAAAGTGCGTACTATATTCATAAAGCGCGTACTATATTCATAAAGCGCGTACTATATTCATAAAGTGCGTACTATATTCATAAAGCGCGTACTATATTCATAAAGCGCATACTATATTCATAAAGTGCGTACTATATTCATAAAGTGCGTACTAAATTCATAAAGCGCGTACTATATTCATAAAGCGCGTACTATATTCATAAAGTGCGTACTATATTCATAAAGTGCGTACTATATTCATAAAGCGCGTACTATATTCATAAAGCGTGTACTATATTCATAAAGCGTGTACTATATTCATGAAGTGCGTACTATATTCATAAAGTGCGTACTATATTCATAAAGCGCGTACTATATTCATAAAGCGCGTACTATACTCATAAAGTGCGTACTATACTCATAAAACGCGTACTATACTCAAAGCGCGTACTATATTCAGAAAGCGCGTTCCGCCATCGCGAGACGTCATGGGCAGTTAGAATGTTGAAGTGTGTCATGACAGAATGCTGAGATAATATGTTGAGATAGTCTGTATTATTTCGATACAAATCAGTAAAATGAGTGCCACTTCACTGATGAT